TGTATGTATTGGACGAAATGATGGGCAGGTCCCAGCTATTTTAAACACAATGACGTGATTGACATTCAGGTTTCCAAACCATCTTAGTCATTTTCCCCTTCCCTACACCAAGGGTTTTAGTGCATTGAAGAAAAAACTGAATTCTTCAATTACGAGCAGACATCAAATCCAACAACACTTTTTTGAGTGACAAGGACTCCCGTCGTGGCAACTCAAAATTTAATAATCGTCTAAAAGAATTCAAAAATCCCGCTATCTCCGTAGGTTTGACATATCCTTGTTCATCCAGTCACAATCGTTCATCTGTTCTTTGTGCTTGTATGCAAGATATCAATAGGTACGCTTCCATATAGCCTCTGTCTGGATTTCTCTCTAAGGACGTCATTGAAAGAGTTTTCCTGTTCTTATTAGCCTGTGCTTGATAGTCGTATGATGGCATCCCTTACGAGTGTACCATTCTGACTATACTGAGAAACTCTCAGTTTGTGTCTGAAACTCACGCTACTCCTGTTCATTCTGCACAATTGTTGCTGCAAATTCATAAACGCCAGGCTATGGGTAAAAAATATTTTTGACGAACGATGTTCGCCACCATCCCCAACACAAAAAACGTGCTGCTAAGTGTCCAGTCGACGAACCACATAACTGCACATATAGAAACCACTTTCATATTCTCGACTTCCCTGTATGAAGTAACCGCAAACCGCATGGATACATGTGATCAGCAATGATTGACAACTGTTCTTGGTTATGTACAATTAGTTGGAATCATTGGTTCACTGCTTGTAGCAGACGGCAACAACAGATGTCATAAAATCTAGCCTCATGCTTATGCAGTCAAATTAATTAAGCTGTGCAAAACTGGAAAATCAAGTAGGCTAATCTTAATAATGATGTTCTTCTGTTCCTCTCTCGAATTAAAAATCAGCTGTTCTCACTATTGCGTCGCATACGTATAGTTGACACTCTTTTAAATAGTTACGCAGGTTTTTCTACTCTTGTAATAACTTCGTCTGAGTACAGTTCATTTCTCGTGAATAAATTATTTGAAAACTGAGCTATTAATTCCGGAGGGGAATGGTTTTGCCTGCGATTGAGAGAATCAGGTGCTTCAGGAACACACTTCAAATTATAGAAATTCGCATGAAATTCCAAGAAAAAGACTGGATTATAATCGTTGTTCACATTCAGAGGAAGTCACACCATACAGATCTCTCCACAGTTAAAACACGTTCAACCTCATAGAAAAACAGCCTTAGGTGTGATTAGTACGCACGGCTGGGTATGGATTGTGAACTTGTGTGATAGTGTGTAATATCGAGTCAATAATTGCATTCGGAAATTTGGAAAAATTAGAAAAACACATCTCACTCTTGCTGCTTGAAATTGAACTAAACGTTTCAATAATTTCGTGGAGAAAACTTCAGTTGCACGTAGATTATCACTTAACCAGAATTGTCTTTAACTGGCAAACTTCAGAGATGCAAAAAAAATTCACATAAATCTTTTGTTCGCAACAGCTGTTGTGTCAAAAAAAAACAGTATTTAAGTGCCGTCAAAACGTATATAGTATTCATACACAACACAGAGATGATGTGAAATCCGAAATTGCTGAGCTGAAGTGAATAAGCGTGTTTGCGTTATTTTGATTCGGATGCTTGATGCACAATTTACCAGCTGTCGATGGGTAATACGCCACTTTAGTCCACGGCTTATTTGGCAAAACGATGTTTGTTTGATTGCGCACGATTATCGATCTGTTCGCGGCACCGCTAAGCTGCAAAACATGGGTCCATTCGTCGAGCGCAGAACCAAATGTGCACTGGGGAGAATGACTTGCAACAAAAATGCCAACCATAGAGAAACAAGCTAGCTGTATTCTGTGTGTGTTGTGCACTCTTTGTTGTAAGAGAAAACGGGTCTATTCTGACTATTCTGCGGAAAACGAACGCTGAAGAAACACTCCAACAAACAAACATGTCATAAAATCTAGGTGCAACCTAATGAATACACATATGTACATACATACATAAATATATACCCACGACCACACACACACAGTTTTACGGGTCTATTCTGACTATTCTGCGGAAAACGAACGCTGAAGAAACACTCCAACAAACAAACATGTCATAAAATCTAGGTGCAACCTAATGAATACACATATGTACATACATACATAAATATATACCCACGACCACACACACACACAGTTTTGGAGAAAAAAGTGGAACGGTTAACGTTTGGAAAAAAAAGCTTCGTACCAAGATTGCTATGGTGGCCACAGGACATGGTAGCTGAAACTATGAAAAGTGTTTTGTGCTGGCTAAGCAAGTATCTGAGGCACCCGGGCTCAAGTACACATATGAAACTGGAAATGCCCTAATGCCACATCCTCAGGCATACCGTCTTCTGTTCAATTGTGGAGCAAATAAAAACACTCTATAAACTGAACCACGTACCACTGAAAGTGGGTTTATTGGAATAAAAGGTGCAGAAATACATAAACAAATCCACGAGGGTCATGGTGATTATGTTTAGGCAACCCTTGGGGTTTCGGTAGTCCCTAGACGTTTCTTTAAAAACTGGAGGTACATGAGCATAACCTTTGATTCAAGCTATCTGAAGTCCTGAATTCGCAAACTGCATGGATGATCGTCGTGCGAACAACGGAAGCTTTTTATATGTATGGTGTCCAGCGCGAGGTCAGTGTTTGAAAAGATTGCTTGAATAGGCAACAAACTTCACATATCATTATTCTAACTAGCAAATGGAAGCAGTCTCACAGCACCATCGCTAATTAAAGAAGCTAATTCAATGTAGGCTAGGCCGGTTCGCATTCTACGGTTGTCGAACGGCTTAGGACATTTTATAGTAGGGCGCTGTAAAACAGCGTCGGACTGTGAACAGTGAGATGACTTGACGCCACTGAGGGTTGATGTTCTCTGAGTAAGCAGAACGGAACTTATCTTATGATTGACTTTTATTGGAAGCCAACAAAAACCGGTGACAGTCATGTTAGCACAAGGAAACTGAAAGTACTGATAACTGCATAGTTGAGATGGCAGAATGTTCTCATCACAATTTATACATTTTAACACTGCAGTGACAACGATAAAAATTAAATGAGGGACATTATAAGTTAGGA